CATCTTTTTAGTTTTCAAAATAGTATTAAAAAGTTTAGTAAGCCATGAAATTCCTTCATCTCCTAAGCATTTCCACACCTCTATTGGAATATCATTAGGTCCAACAGCTTTTCCACCCTTCATTTTCTTTAAAGCATCTCTAACTTCAGTTTTACTAATACGCCGATAAAAACAGAAATCTTTATTTTCATTTAGGGTGCTAAGGTAATTATAGTCAATCTTATATTCACAATCTTCATTAAAAAGTTTAGCAAAATATCTCATCCATCTTGATTGGAAAAAGAAAAATAAAATCAGCCTATACAACGACTACACAGACAAAGGATCCTTCACCATACTCGATATTAATCTCCTCATTTTGTCGAGATACTCAACAATGTATTGAGCTCCCTGGTGAAATCCCTCATGCTTAGTCTGACTAAGAAAAAGAAAATCACTCGACTTCCATCGAATTTATACGACTCCACACAGTAGCCATCTAATCATTCTACAAAGCCACAACACCTCTCTGATCGACATTGCCTACGGTAGCAACTCCCTCTCCGCCAACATTGGATTCGCCCATGTCCCCTGTCTTAACTGCCGACTCCAAGGCCACCAATATTCCTAAAATTTCATCCAATGAAATTTACTCCAAGGGCAAATCGAGGTCTATGTATAAAGTATACGAGAAGGAAGTCAGCGGCTGCTCAAGGATCTTTCTCAGGTCCGCTCCTTAGCAATCTCTTCGACAACAATAACAATATCATCAACAACTACAATCCACTCTAGGGCACTCACCTCCTTTAGAGAGGCTTGACCCGTGCATTCTTGCATGCTCTTAAGAGGGAAGGAATGACTCCTCCCTTCATCCAAAGCCCTTCTTAATCACCAGTCCTCTCTCCCACAGTTGAAATAACGAGAGTGACAGTCTCCATCAACCCTTAAGTATAATCAAATGACCGATCATCATCAATAACAACCAAATCCTTCGCATCAACATGTGTTTTCTTCACTAGAGAATTGATAGTAAGATATGTCGTGTCTACTGATACTCGCGCCTCCTCTTAAAAAACGACCTTCCTCAAGATGGTCTCTTCCACATTCAAGGCCACCATACCAAAAGCAACTCGCACTCTTATGTATGCAACTCTCCTAGAAGCCCGACCGCCAAGAAGAGAGAAAAGATCTATCTCGCCGAATTTACGCAAGGCTTGCATGTTAGAAACAAAAAGCAAGTATCTGCTTGACTCAAAGCGAGTATTTATAAGGAAATCCGATGACAGGATCATTCGATCTTTGAAAATACATAAACCTTGAGTCCATAGAAGATTAAGGGGAATAAATTCACATTTATTCGCGTTCTTTTCTCTGGTTTATGATTCATTTATCAAACCGTTACAACATCTGATGATCAAAGGGTCGAATAAATCAGAGAACTAAATATATACCCATCACTACTTGTGCAGTTACCGTCTAGTTGGTACCTTACAGGTTACATTCAAATCGTGTGGAAGGAGATTTTTCTCTTCTTTCAGGACAGTCCGTTCGAAAGACTCTTTTAGGAGCTGGGAAGGAGCTTATCACTAGAGCATGGCAGATCACCTTCAGCCAAATCCTCCAGGTAGCTGCCTTCCTAGGTAAGGATGACCACAAAAGTTCCTCTCTCAGTCGAACAAGTTTTTATTCATCTCAGCCAAAGTCAAGTCTTCTATGCTAAACCTATCAAAAGTGAAGCTGAAGGCACACATCTCGTCCATAAGACATCCTTTATAATCGGATCACCATCGAACTCAGAGACCTACATCAAGTCATTACTTGCCCCCTCTCACTCCAATGGGACGACATCAGATCGACTTCCTACCCAATGCAGGCTCGATCTCCAGATTCCCCATGGGATCACCTTACCCGCATCTTCTCTCACAAGATCACCACACCACCCGGCACAGCCATCCAAGCTCTATCAAAAAAGAATAGAATAACTAGATTTCATATATATTCAACTATAACTCTCTAAACCTTATAAATAGGGGGAGGAAGCATAAACAAGAAGAGGAGACAAACAAGAGATCACTAAAATAAAACAAAAAGAGATACATAGAAAGGCATTGCGTCAGTTTTACTTTTTTTAGCCCGAGCTCTACAGGATAGAGCCCTCGCTCTTTTACTTCTGACTAGGATAATAAAAGTTGCCTAGATTTAACTTTCGCTCTCATACTCTCTCTCTCTCTCTCTCTCTCTCTCTCCCTTTTTCTCTTTGTCTTCATTATCTTCACCTACAGGCTCTCAACTCACAGGTAGATCCATAAAATACGGCCTGACATTATCCATCGAATAATTCTAAATTCAATAACAGTATTTAACAACATAATCAAGGATTTAAGATAGTTGACTAATTTAAAATTAAATTTAATGTGCTATAAATTTATTTGCATGTTAAGTACAAGTTACTTATTACTTTCAATTTTTTTTAAAATCAATAAGTTATAATGATAAAAAATTTAATTAAAACTTAACTTAATTATTAAACAATTTCATTATTAATTATAATAAAAGCTATTTTTAATTTTTATTTATTTTTTTAAAGTTTGATTATCTTTGTTTGATTCTTTAATGCATGAGTGCACTATTTTCATTCATATCTAGCAATGTGCACGTGAATAATGATAATATAATTAAAATATTTATATTATGGATTTTATTTTTTAAATATTTAGTCACGTGCATTTAATGCACGGGCATTTTTACTAGTATCCTAAATACCCCGCTCTTGACCTTGTTATGATAAAATTTTGTTTAAACCTAACTCAAACAAAATTTAAACAACAATCAGTAAATATTGAAATCATATAAGAGAAAATTTATGTTATGTTCATACTCTTCTCAAATCATGTGTTTTGATTCAAATATAGAATCATATATTGTTTGAATAAGATTCGTATAAATTTTGAACATAGTTCAACAACATTAGAAATAACATAGTATAATCAATAACTAAAACACATCACAATTGTCGGATCTAAATTTATCCATGGAAGACACCTAACTTTACTAGTAAGACGACTCAATGAGTGAGTGCATGAAACCTATATGTGAATATACAAAGGTGAGCTAGGGAGGAAGAGAGAATTTGCATAATATTCATAAAAAATTACGAGTCTCAAGCCAGCGTAGAATCCACTCGAATTAATTAAATAGTAGTCTCAAAAAAATTTCTCAACACCTCTTATTTATTGGATTTTAAGGGCTACATGAAGGGCTAAATCAAAAAGTATAAACAATAGCATCGAATAAAATACCAGTGCAATGCTACATAGACTGTGCTACTGGTAAGGAGATTTGGGATAGACTGTGCATCACGTACGAAGGAACTAGTGAAGTTAAACAGTCTAGGCTTAACATTCTGTTGCATGATTATGAACTCTTCCGTATGAAACCTAGCGAAATAATATCTAACATGTACACTAGGTTCACCCAAATCGTGACATCCTTGCATGCATTAGGTAGAGAAATTTCAAATTCTGAAAAAGTTAATAAGATTCTTAGATGCTTACCTAGTTCATACGATGCTAAGATAACTGCTATCACTTAATCTAGAAGCCTTAACATTTATTCTATTGATAATCTCCTTGGGTCACTCATTGCATATGAGCAATGAGTGAGTTAAAGGCAAAGTGATGCAGGTGAAAAGAAGAAGGAGCGAACGGTGGCATTAAAAGCAAACAATTCAGAAAGTAAAAGCTCTGCAGGGGAGGAAGAAGATGACATAGCCTTGATGACCCGACAGTTCAATAACTTTTTGAAAAGAAAACAAAGGCATCATCAGAACAGCTGGAATAAAGGTAAGAGCTCGAGGTTTAATAAAGCTTCATCTGATACAATCTGTTTTGAGTGTAGGAAGCCAGGCCACCTTCGAGCTGATTGCCCCAACCTAAAGAGCCAACCTGCTAAGAAAAAAAGCAAGGATAAAGCCAAGTATAAGAAAGGAAAGATGAAGACCCAAAAAAGCTTTTTGGGCCGACTCTGCCTCAGAATCATCAGAAGAAGAAGCAGAGGAGGATGTAATAAATTTGTGTCTAATGACTAACGATAATCTTGATCAATCGGATCAAGACGAGGTATGTTAGCTTTCATACGATGATCTATTACTTATTTCAGAAAAAATTCATAACTCGTATAGGAAATTGAAAAAGATTCATGTTAGTCTTAATATTAACTTTAGTACTTTACAAACTGAGCTTGTTAACTTAGTTAAAGAAAATTATGTTTTAGATAAAGATCATATGTTGCTTCTTGATGAGTATGATGCATTAAATAATAAGCATATTGAACTAACAGAAGTGCATGAATCCTTGAAAACCACTCATGTTGAACTAGAAGAGGTTTTTCACAGACTAGACAAACTTGCATTAGAAGTACATCATAGTGAGCATTTGTTAAAAATAGAAGTTCATGGATTGACATATCAAAACAACACTTTTAAAGAAAAAATCAAAGAACTAGAAAAAGAAAATGCATCACTCATATTAGCCCAATCCAGCAAATCCTTAGCACTACATGCATCACAAAACTTTAGGAAGAGGCAACATCACTCACATAGGTTAGTAAATCTATTTCCCGGTGTTAGGTGCTTCTCTTGCGGCATGCTAGGTCACATAGCCCGCACATGCACAATTCACTGTAAGACATACTTAGTGTGGAGACCTAAACTGCATCCATCACAGCATAGCATGCATTCATCTCATTCATGCAAGCATAAGGAGGAACCCAAACTCACTTGGGTTCCCAAATCTAACCCTTGAATGAAATTGTAGGGATGCTCTCACAAAAGACCTAGTGAAAGCATGTGGTACCTTGATAGTGGTTGCTCGCGATACATGATTGGAGATATGAAGAAGATCATTTTACTGGAGACCAGAATCGGAGGCAAAGTAACATTGGGAGACAACACTACCAAGAAAGTGATAGGCTCAGGTATTGTTAGTAATGCTAAGAATATTTTAATTGAAAATATTTTATTAGTTGCTGGTTTGAAGCATAACCTACTTAGCATTAGTTAATTGTGTGATAAAGGCTTTGATATTAAATTTATGTCTAACAAATGTCTGATTAGTTTAAATGACAAACTTGTTTTATAAGGAAAATGAATGAATAATGTTTACATGTTAGACCTCGATTGCATTGATAGTTCAAATTATTTTTGCTTAAAAATAATAGTAGATGACTCGTGGCTATGACATAGGAGACTATGTCATGCTAGTATGAAAATACTTAGAAACATCACTAAAAAAATCTAGTTAGAGGCGTACGTAAGTTAGACTTCACTAAGGATCATTTATGTGATGCTTGCCAACTAGGAAAACAAGTCAA